AAAAAAAATCCTTGAAATTCTCTTAGAAATACAAACAGATGGTTATGAAACAAATGATTTTATTTTAACAGGTGGTTTACATGTGTTAGGTTATCGATTTCCACCTCAATTACAAGATCGTTTAAAACGTTTTATTATTCATACAGGTTAAATTAAATCATATATATTTTATTTCGTTTTATCTATCCCATATTATCTTAGGTGTGATCTTCAATAATGAAAAAAAAGATTTCATCATCACTTATTGGATTAAATCATTTATTTGAACAAACTCCAATACCATGGAAAGGTGCTTATTTTGATGATACTCGTAATACAGATAATGCATGGATAGAATTATCCATTGAATATCTCTTAGATTATGATCATCAATTAACAACATGCATACCATGTCTTCACAATGAACAACTTAGTCGTCTTGAACAACCACGTTTTCTATGGAAAGATGTAAAAAATACAATTAATATTGGACCAAGAACTCATTATCGTCTTATAAGAAATTTAGCCTATAAACTTGATGCATATTTCTGAAAAAGATAAACGTAATTTGGTTATTATTAATCTATTAGATGTACTTTTTAATCTTTAATCATAAGAATTACAGTTTAAAAAAAATCGTTCATTTAACATCATCATATTTTCCTCCTCGTCCTTGTTTCTGTTCAATAAAATGTTTTGCACCTGGAATTGATTCACGTTCAATTAATTGTCTTCCATATAGATATTCATGTTCAAGACTATCATCAACTGTATTTGAAACAGAAAAATGTGCTGAAAGTCGATCAGTATTCATACATTCATATGGAAATCGAAGTATATCTTTTGCAAGTTGAATAGCTTCAGATAAACATTGACCATCAGGTACAAGACGATTAATTAATCCAATATTAAATGCTTCTTGTGCATGTACTGTTCGACCAGTTAAGATTAAATCAAGTGCTCGTGAAAGACCAATAAGACGTGGTAGACGAACAGTACCACCATCAATAAGTGGAACACCAAAACGACGACATAAGACACCATATTTTGATGATTGTTCACCGACACGCATATCTGCTAGAAGAGATAATTCTAGACCACCAGCAACACATGGTCCAGCAATAGCAGCTATTAATGGTTTTTTCAAGCTCATACGACTTGGTCCCATAGGTCCAGGTTCATTTTTATTATAATTCATGGGTACAGAAATTTTTGCTGATGCAACTTCGCTTAAATCATAACCAGCACAAAATGCAGAGCCACCTTCACCATATAAGATAGCTATACGAGCTGTATCATCATTTTCAAAATTTTTAAAAGCTGATAAAAGTTGAAGTGCTGTTGAATGATTAACACAATTTCGTTTCGTTGGACGATTTATTCCAATTAGACGAACTGATGGTGTATCATCAACATGACTAATATTAACTGTTGTATTTGACGATGAAGAATATCGAAGAGTAGAAGTTATCGTATAAAATTTTTTACCAATATAAGATGAAAGTAATATTCGATGGCTATGCATTTTCTAATAACACCTAATGGAAAAATTTCTCAAATGAAATGATAAACAAAATGAAAAAAAATGAGAAATCTTATGTCATATTCATTCTCTGAATAATAATATTTGTATATGTATATGTATATATATAATAAAAAAGAAAATTGAAGATTAATTTCGTTTCTTTTTCTATCTTGTGTACAAATAATATAACAACAATAATAAAGACCACAAAAAAAAATCATGAAACAAACACACACTCTGTTAGTAAATACAGATACAGAAATCACTTTTGAAATACTCTCAATGTTTGATTAAATCCACGCATTTCTTCGTCTGTTGCTGTTTGAAAAAATGGGGAAACACCATGTCGAGCAGCAGCCAATGTATCATCAAGTGTTTCATCGACCATGTTACCAGAATTTGATTGTAGATCATTAGGATTCGGTCGCCAATGAGGTGGTTGAGAAGGATTAGATTGAAAATTATTTCCTCGTCTATCTGTTGGTGCACTCGCCCAATGACCATCATTGAGAATATCAAGACGTTGTCGTTTTATCGAAGGACCGCCACTACCACCACCTCCACCGCCACTGTTACCACCACCACGATTATCAAAATCTGGTGGTCCACCACCTCGAGAATAATCATCGAGCATAGAAAGTGATCCACGCGGAAAATTTGGTGGTTGAGGAGCTGATTGAGGCTACAATTATTTATATATAAGATATAAGAAAAGAAGAGCTTAACAAATACTTACATAGAATGAATCATCAGGATCGAGTGAATCTAAAATAAATTTAAATATACGAAACTCATATTGACAAAATAAAAATATGAATAACTTACTTGTCATCCTATTATTACTATCACCAGGATATGGGTCAACAGAACGCCATGCTTTTTCAAATGGTTTAGGTACAGGTTTAGCAAACGGTACCTATAAACATCAATATTCATAGATGTATTAAGAAAACAAAAAAAAAAAGAACATACACGTCGTCGTCTACTTTCTTCATCATCATTTGAATAATCTAGCCCAGGAATACCAGCTTCACGTCGAGTAGTGATCTCATCTAAATAAAATACAAAGTTTTTCTATTTAGATTTCAAAAGGAATTTACCTTGTTGTTGTAATTGTTCTAGTAAACCACCTTCAAAACCTAAACCTGGCATATTCATTTCTTCTGAACGTTCATGTTCTAATTCTTCACGATGTAATTGCTCAAGACGTGTAGCATGTAATAATAAACCTTCTTCACTACGTTCAAGTACAGTATCACCAGGTCGATTACGTGTCCAAAATCGGGTTGTATGATCATTTGAACCACTAACAAGCATATGACCAAGAGGATGCCATGACATATCCCATATCATACCTTCATGTGCATCATCCATACCTGCTAATTCTTTTTCTGTTCTATAATATACAAAGTTTATAGGATTAATTTAAAAAGTAAAGTCAGCATACCCGACATGCCAAAAGTAAATCGAACCATCGGATCCTCCACTTGAAAATAGACGTTCGTGTACGGGATGCCATGCCAATGCTAAAATATGAATAGAAAAGAAAATAAATTATTCAATAAAATAAATATTTATCTTTAAAATAAATTTTTTCATTTATTTTTATAATATAAATTAAAACAAAAACTAATATTAATACAATAAAATTCATTTTATATTTATTTTATTATTTTAGTTTTATATATATACATTTATTAGATGACGAGATTCTTTTTTTTTATTATTTTGTTTTTTTTCAAAAAGAAACAATATTAAGCAAATACAGTTTATTATAATCTTTATTTGTAAACAATAATAAACAAATAAAAAAAGCTTACTGCATGCTTCTTTTTTGTGTCCACGAAAACATTGAACTTCTTCTTTAAGATTTCTTATATCAAATAATTTACAAAAATGATCACGTGATGCGGATATTAACCAATTTCCATTATGACGATTCCATTTCAATGCCATACATGTATTTTTATGAGCATGACTAAATTAATAAAAAGAGATTTTTTATTCTATATCAATGAATAATATTAATTTACAGTGTTGCTAATTTTTTTCCACTTTTTGGATCCCATAATATAATCGGTTGTTGAGAATCTTTACTGCCAGAAACAAGTAAACCTTTATCTGGATGCCAATCAACACATTTAACATCACATCCATGACCTCGTAATTCACGTTCTTCTTGACCAGTCATAAAATCGAATATACGAATAAAACTATCATCGGAACAACTAGCAAATTTGCTATCATTTGGAGAAAACGTTAAACCTCTCACTGGATCATTATGTGCTTGATATACTTTAACATTATTCATATTTGATTGCCAATATTTAACAAAGCCATTATGATCACCAGTTAACATCCACTGTTCATTATTTGACCAAATCATTGCACGTACAGCTGAATCATGTGCTTGTAAAATTGTTTCAAAATTAAATGTTAATCCATTCCATAATGTAAATTCTCCACTTGATGCACCTGTTATTAAACGACGACCATCAGGTGTCCAACAAACACAAAAAATTGGACATCGAACTTTATTTGTTGCTGGTCGAATAAATTTCGTCATAACACAATTCACAGGATTTGATAGAAGATTATGTGGTGGAACAAGATTTGGTATATATAAAACATCAGGTTGTAATGATCGTGCATCAGTTATATTTCGTTGCCAAATCGAATTCTAAATGATAAAATTTCCATAAAGAAACAAAAAAATAACAAAATTTATACTTCAAGATAACGTATAATTGATGGATTATAATCGACTGTTTTACGAGCCATTGCTTTACGTAACATTTTGCCATCGAAACCGATTTCACCTATTAGAAAAAAAAAAAAATTAGATTTGCAATTCAATTTAAAATCGTTTTTACCAGGTTGAACAGGTACAATAGACGAATTAAGTGTGCTGGATGTTTGTCCAGTAGAAGTTGAATGATGATGTTGAGAAAAATGGGGATGATGACCAGGAAAACGAGGTGGAGCCCTATAAATCATATAAATCATGAAAAAGAAATATTTTTCAAATAAAACTTTACATGTTTGTAAATTGTTGATTGAACTCTAATTCATAAAGTTTACAATCAACGTTTAGTAAATAAGATTAACAGTTATTAATGATCAACAACAACTGAAGATGGATAGGTAGTAGAACATAAATGAAAATGAAAAGATTAACCAATGAAGATTAATCGACAAACGATAGATGGTGTTAAACAATATGTTTTACAATCAAGAGGAAATATTCTAATTTTCTATTGAATAATAAATACAGACCAATTGTTTTCTATGAAGATTTGTAACAAATGAATACATTGCACTATCCTTTTTTTCTATCGTTACTCAATCAATCGTGTCAGATATTTTCTTTATTTTTTTATCAATCCTTTTTATTTATTCAAGCAGAGTAATATGCAAAGCCAACCTTTACGTATTGGTATACTTGGTTTTGGTTCTCTCGGACAATTTATTTATTCACATTTTGAAAATGAACGTAAAAAATCAACATCTAATTTTGAAGTCATTTTTATTTGGAATCGATCAAAAGATATTTTTACAAATTATGATAAAGAACTCGATCAAAAATTAATTGTTGCAACTGTCGAAGAAGGTTTACAACGTTCACCAGACTTAGTTATTGAAGTAGCACATCCAATTATTGTCGAAACATATGCTGAAAAAATACTTGATGTAGCAGATCTAATAATTGGATCACCAACAGCTCTTGCTCGTGCATCTGTTGAAAACTTATTGAGAAAGAAAACTCAAGAAACAGGTCATGTTGTCTATGTGGGTACGGGTGCTTTTTGGGGTGCAGAAGATATAGCTAAAATGAATGAACGAAATACACTTCGTTCATTAAGTATTACAATGAAGAAACATCCGGATTCTTATAAACTTAATGAACCATTACATTCAAAATTAATTGAAGAACGAAAAAAACTTGGTGATCAAAAAGGTGAAATAATTATTTATTCAGGTCCAGTTCGTGAAATATGTTCATTAGCACCAAATAATGTCAATACAA